AGAAAGCTCTGGCCTTATCACAATTTATTTATAAGTATTTAACAAAATATATAAATACATAAAAATAAAATAAAGGATATAAAAAGAATTGACAAAGAGAAACATAATATTTTATTATAATTTAATTTTGTTAAAATTAGGGTTTAGGTAATTTAATTTTTAATTAAAATATGTTCAATATTACACTTGTTTTAACTGTCGTAATAAAATATTTCTAATGATATAATTTATATTTAATAATATAAAATTTTATGTATAAGTATTTAATAAAAAATATAAATACATAAAAAATTAAAGGATATAAAAGGATCGGAATTAACAAAAAAAAAAACATAATATTGTAGTATAATTTAATTTTGTTAAAAATATGGTTTAGGTACTTTAATTTTTAATTAATATATATTCAATATTAGTCTTATTTTAGTTGACTTATTAAAATTTTTTAAATGATATAATTTATGTTTAATATATAATATTAAACTTACATATAAGTATCCTTTATCAAAATATATAAATACACAAAAAAAAAAAAAAAAAAAAGAAAGATAGATGATAGGGAAATGACACTTTTTTCCCCTGAGTTATATACTTATAGCACTTTTCCCCCCTCAATTATTTAGGTAAGCACATTAGCCCCTTCAATTATTCTAAAAGTGGTGGTTTTCCCCCTAATATATTAAATTGACATTTATACCCTTAAAATAAACATTTTATTTATTTTACTTCTCCAACAAATTATTGCGTATACGTAGGGATGACCACGATTCGGTTCGAACTGAATCGGACACTATAGCAATCGAATTAAAAGTTTCCGGTTATGATTCAGATCTAGCACCCAATATTTGGATTTCAATTTATTAAAATTATGAATCAAAGAAATTGGATCCTGAACCGTGAACCAGCGGTTCCGGACCCGATTCGCGATTTTGAACCGTTTTTATTTTAAAATTTTATTTTTATTTTAAAAATAATCTAAATTCAACAATAAATGTATTTTATTTTTTCAGTTCGGAACATGAACCGTCCGTTCCGGGATTTTAATAAACTCTAAATATCGAGTTTCGATTCTAAATTGTAATTGGAATATTTCGGTTTGGTTGCTATAGTGTTTATTTGGTTTGAACCAAATTATGGTCATAATTTGTTGGAGAAGAAAAATAAATAAAATATTTATTTTAAGGGTAAATATGTCCATTTAACATTTTAGGGGGAAAAACAGCCACTTGAATAATTGAGGGGGGAAAAGTGCTATAAGTATATAACTCAGGAGGGAAAAAATGTCATTTCCCTAGATGATATTAAAGGATTTTTAAAAAATACATAATATGACCAGAGGAGTTGAAATAATATTGGTAACATGTAATTGTAATAATATCATCAAAGGAGTTGAAATAAGATTTGTAACTTGTAATTGTAATAATATGACTAGAGGAGTCGAAATAAGATTTGTAACTTGTAATTGTACTAATACGATCACAACAGTCGAACTAAAATTTGTAACTTGTAATTGTAATAATATGACCATAGTAGTCAATGTCCGCATCGGTAGCTCAACTGGTCATAGAGGTGAAACTTTGGAAGAATGACCATAGTAGTCAAAATAAAATTTGTAACTTGCAATTTTAATAATATAACTAGAGTAGTCGAAATAAGATTTTTTATTTGTAATTTTAATAATATGACCAGAGCAGTCAAAATAATATTTTTAACTTGTAATTGAAAACTTTTTATTATTTATTAAAAATTTAAAAATAAAAAAGTAAAAAAAAAAAAATAGATGAAACAGCCACTAGTGGGACAACCGATGGTTGTTGCTGCTTTTTCTTCTTCTTCCCCCTCCTCTAATTTTAAAATTTGTAATGAGAGGCGACATGTGTCAGCCCCATAGTGGACGGCAGAACGGAAGCGATTAACATGACTATTCTACCTCGAAATTAGTGCAACATCATGATCAAAATGGTGTAACTGGCAAAGGAGTTGGTCGAGAAGCCCATCGGTCGAAAACGTCACAACATCACAACACAATCCCTACAATAAGAAAGAATAACCCAACAAAAATTCCCAAGGCACTAAGTCAACAGAAATAGTGAGTGATCGGACATTAGGAGGGGCAATCTCTAAGATACTTTCCTGAGACATTGTCTCCGCGAAATCTAAAGAAAATGAGGGACTAGATGATGGATGGTGTGTTATAATAATATTATAGTATATGTTTAATCGACTAGTGGTGATAGTTTAATTGACTTAGCCTAGCCTATTCTATAGGAGACTATTATGTTAGTTCTCCCTATAGGACTCTACTGTTTGTAATTGAATTTCAATCTATCGATTTTGAACATGTTACGCTCATCTGGTATCAGTTAGCCAAACCTTCTCTCTCCTAAAAATTCTCCCTTCCCTTCCGATGTCGACGAATTCCTCCGAGAGGACGGTCAGTGCCGCCGCCGCTCCTTCTCCGGCCACCACCAACTCCCTAAGGTGTACCAGGTTGACTAGTTGGACCACCCGAGGACAACTGGGTTGACCAGTCAACTATGAGATTTGAGTCGCAGAGATTGGCCCAGAAGGATAATTAAGAACGAAAGAGCCTAGCGAATAATATCCACTGCGAAACAAATCAATTTAACTAGGCTCATTTTGCATTATATTAGGATTATGCCCGCTACTCATAATATAAAAAGGATAGGGTTTCCCTATTCCCGAAATACAACAATGACTCCCAATTTGAGGCAGTTTAAAATTTTTATTCTTTGTAGGACTGCTAGCCCAAAATATGTATAAATAGTCCCCTACCCTATATGATGAGTGAAAAGAAAAATTTTTATGCATTAATAGAATGGAAAAATTGCTCAAAATGTGGAACAATAACTTGGTAAATTTCCCCTCAATGCCTATTCCAGATTCAAGTGCCAAGTTAGTGAGTAAGAATCGATTATTATATGCGGAATTGTCGTATGATTGTGATGATCTTAAGAGGGCATGATTGCTTGGTTAGCCAATTAACTAATGAACAAAAACATGTGTACGACACTATACTTGGTGATGTTGAGTCTGATGAAGGTGGATTATATTTTGTGTATGGTTATAGAGGTACAGGAAAAAATTTGTTTGGAGGACGTTGTCTGCTTCTATACGTTTTGAGTGATATATTGTGTTAAATGTTGCCTCAAGTGGTATTGCTTCTTTTCTTATGCCTGGTGATAGAACTCCACATTCTCAATTTGTCATATCCATTGAGATTAATGTGGATTCAATATGTAACATATCGCATGGTAGTGATCTTGTTGAATTAATTATAAACTGCAAACTAATCATTTGGGATGATGCACCTACGACGCATAAACACTACTTTGAAGTATTAGATCGAACAATAAGAGATTTGTTAAGGTTTACAAATCTCTTGAGTTCAAGTATGACTTTTAGAAGGAATACAATATATATTAGTGATGATTTCTGACAAATATTAAATGTGATTCCAAAGGAAACAAGACAAGATGTTGTTGGGAAAGCTTCAACTCTTCTTATCCGTGGAGTAGTTGTAAGGTTCTAAGATTGACTAAGAACCTAAGACTACAAACAATTGATAGTTTTGCAAAGTGAATAGCTACTACAGGTGATGGTCAGCTTAGTGCAGAAAATGATGGGCATGCAGAGATAGAAATTTCAAAAGATAATTTGTTAAAGCCTCAAGGTGATCCAATTGAAACAATAATTAAGAGCACATACCCTATGTTTTATGTGGGTGTTTGTGATATGGAGTATCTGAATGGTCGAGGTATATTGGCACCAAAACTAGATGTAGTAATGAAATCAATGAGTATATAAATAGTTTGAATCTTGTGGATGGTAGAATGTATTTAAGCTCTAGCGTTGTTTGGCGGTTTAATATGTGTACAGATACATTTGCTGAGTTGCACAACCTGGAGTTCCTAAACGAATTGCAATGCTTGGGCATTCCTTACCATTCTCTTGCTCTACAAGTTAGATCTCCACCGATGCTTTTGCGAAACATTGATCACTCTCTTGGGTTGTGTAATGAATCGAGATTGGTTATTACTAGATTGACAAATCATGTTGTTAAAGCTAATATATTATCCGGAATGAGTGTGGGTACATGGGTGTTGGTTCCTAGATTGTCAATGACGCCGTCAAATCCTCGATTGCCGTTTAGGTTTGAAAAGAGACAATTTTTACTAATGTTATCTTATGCAATGACAATAAATAAGAGTTAAGGGCAAAATTTGTCTAATGTTAGGTTATTTTTAAAAGAAACATATATTTGTACATGGACAACTTTATGTGGCTCTATCTAGAGTTACAATCCTAACGGCCTTTAGAGTAATAATTTTAGACGATAATAAAAATTATTATTCTTCAACATCAAATATTGTATACAAGGAGATTTTTAAGAATTTGTAACTCTAATACTTAAATTGTAGTATTTCGTTTCAGAACTTCTGTAAAATATTTATGGAATGTATTTTAATACAGAGTAATTTTGTATTACAACATATAAATTTATGTATATATTAATTTGTATATTTTCTTCTAATTTTTATTTTTTAATATTGATAATATTCGTACTGTGCATCCCACATGTGACATACTAGTATATGAAAAAGGGACATGCAATATTTATTTTCTCCATATTTTTAAATACATATTAATTTTACAGTAATTTTAGCCAACTGTTGACTACCCAAAAGTCATAAATCAATAGTAATAATAATAATAATTTAAAAATTAACTTTAAAAAAGAACAGAGTGAATAAAAAAGATATTTTCAAACAAGTTAGATTGCTTTCGTTAATCAACATGAATATTTTTCTAATTCATTTCTAGAATATCCAAACATTAAAAAATCTAAAAAATAATTTTGAAAAGTTATTTTACAAATTTCCCATACAATTTCTCTCTACCAAATCTAAAAAATAATTTTGAAAAGTTAAGGGACCTGCGGACGAGTGGAATATACACAGTGCGGCTTTGACGATATCTGAATTTTTGGATATACCCAATCAAGAAACATTACCATAACAGGACAGTGTGTCCTTATTTCTCTATCCATCCAATTCTTTTTCAACTCCCAGGTGCGCGGGGATTAGGGTTTTGCCCAACCGGAGAGCGCCAGTCAGGATACTCACCACCACAACCCTAACTCTCCTTCAGCTTTGTCTTCCCCACTCCGATTTGCTCCTTCAGGAGCATATTCAATTAAATTGAACCAAAGGACCGGAGAATCCTTGTTTTACGGAGCCGAAATTTCTGTGTGGATCTCTCGTTCCAATCCGGTAAACTTGTTTTACTTTGGTAAGTTGAAGTTCTCTGCATTTCAATTTTCAATCTTGTGGCACAGAAGGTGTCTATGGTATTGAATTTGGAGATCAGGCCGTTTCGCGGGCATACAACTGTTGGAATAAGTGGTAATTGTTTAAATATAGGAGTTTAATTCGTTCTAGTAACGTTATCTGGCGCCTGGAATGAAAGGAAAGCTAGTGAAATGGCTTCTTTGGTACATTTTATTGGTGGAATTTTTTAGTATAGTTTTAGATATGAAGTCAAGGTTAATTACTTTTATTTATGTATCCGGTATACCCAACTATAATTATTGGGTTTTGCATTTGGTTTGGGGTTTCACCACCGAGTGTTTGTGTCTGTTTAATTGTTTTAGCTTTTTCAAACAATTTTTTAAAAGTAATTTTTGTTTAGAGTGCAACTTTGTCCCTCTCTATAAAAGTTATTTTGTGTAAAGAACTTTTTCATGTTCATTTCACGAATTCAGAGTGTGGATTGATTGTTAGCATAATTGCATCGTGTCATGTTATAGCAACTTCTAGTTAGTGCCATATTTGACTTTTTGAGTTTTGATCCATGCAGAGTGCCCCATTGCATCAAAGGTGGATTTTTTTGGGAGAAGAGAAAAGGAAATCTCATAATAAAACCCTTAGGCTACAGGCTCTTTCTTGATCTGTAATGATCCCACTCTAATGTTGTATTCTTTGAATGTGATATTATTTTTACTTTTTAGATGATTGTGTTGGTAAATCCAACCCAAGGAGAATTTCACTGCTGAATTAGAGTTTTAGACTATATATACATACTTTTTATTTTATTTTATTAATCTCAGGAAAGAATTGTCTTTTCATTTACTTGATGCAAATAGATGGATGCAGATAACAAGAAATTTGGGAGAGGTAAGACATTGATTACCTTTCTCCTAAATAACTGAGACATTAATTAGCACATCTTTGTATCTTATGTGGTATGGATTGTGGTGTTCAAATGGCTTTGTTCAAGCTCTTGCTCTGTGTGTCCCCTTGCTTTTGACTCAAAATCAAATACCCCTTCCTTGATATGGAATAAATATTTATCCTAAGAACGTACATATACGCCTTTTAGTTTTCTCTGTTTTTGGTTTATTTCGTAACTGAAGAGTATGCTTTAAATTTATTGCTAGTCAAAATTTTCCAAAAATGTTCTTGCATTATGAATGATTCATTTTTCTCTAGGAGTGGCAATGTGGTTTTAAATCATTTAGACCTCAAAGCGAGTGTTATAGAAATGCTTTCATAAAGAACTGAGTTTTCTGTCAATTCATCTATTGCTGCCAGATTAATGCTCTTAGGGGTCAGAGATAACCTGTGTATTGATAAAGCTGTTTTATAATAAATAATTTATAGGTCCTTTTCTGTACAGTATTGTGTGCGTGGGTTTTTGTTGTAACTTATCTTTCTTTGATCCTTCAAAGTGATGTTAACTTGGTTCCATTAAAATATCAGGTCCACGTGAGCTTTCAGGTTCTGTGGACCTTATACGTCATTTCAAGTTGCAGCGTCATCATGAATTCTTCTGCAAGAATTCACTTCCATTGTCAGTATCAGATACATATTATCTGCATGATGTAGTGGGAGATGCAGAAATTAGGAAAGGGGATGGAATGCAATTGGATCAACTTATTGAGGATACTTCTTCAAGAGAGACAAATGCTCGGATTCAACCATTTAATCTAGATGTTCTGGTAGAGGCCTTTCAACTGAGGGAAACAGCTCCAATTGATCTCCCCCCGGTAATGAACTGCTTAGACTTTTGTGAGATTAGTTTTTCTGGAAAGCAAATTTGCCCTCCTTTTCCTATTAGATTCTGAAGTTGGGACCTACTAATTGTGGTTTTACAGATGTACTTATCATTAGGTCTCTCTTGTGGTATTTTGTAGTCTGAGAAGGGCATTCCAACTATAGCGGCAAAATCTAAGAGTGAGTCTAAAGAGAAGGATAAAAAGCATAAAAAACACAAGGACAAGGACAAGGACAAGGACAAGGAGAAAGATAAAGAGCATAAGAAGCACAAGCATCGCCACAAAGATCGGAGTAAAGATAAGGACAAAGATAAAAAGAAAGACAAAAGTGGGCATCATGAGTCTGGTGCTGAGCATTCAAAGAAACATCATGAGAAGGTTTGATAACGCTATGCTTATTTTTCCAAAATTCAAATAGCTACAAGCATGAAACCCTTGTTTTTTTCACTTGGTCCAAACATCATATAGTACTCATGTTTGCATGATTTAATTCTGGAGGATATATCCCATAGTGTCCAAAGTGATTCTTTTTAATTATCAACGCATGAGGATTTTTATATTATATAAAGAAAAGTATATGTGGAAAATATCTTTTATTTTATTTATCATTAGGTTTATTGATGTCTTGCCTTTGCTCAAAAGTTAAGGTCCATATTGCAGTCACTCTATTTCATCTTGCAATGTAATTTTGTCAAAGTATTTTTAGTGTAAATGTAGCAGTTCCACATGACGGGGGATTATGGGTATTAACTCCATTTTTGCAAGGATATTTAGTTTCCTATAATAATATTTAATTCTTAAAATACTGCATATCTTATAGTTTTAATAAAATGATAATTTGTTGCTCCTTATGTCATTCTAACTTTCCATTTTCCTTTTCAGGCCTTGTAATACTATTTTTCATTAAGAAGGTTTCTTTTATTATATATTGAAAATTTGAAACAAGATAGTGTTTTTGCACATATTGCTCATCTTTGGTATTAATTGTATGTCCTTAATGGAAAGTAAACATATTAAACCAACTTTCTTGGGAGTTGCCTAGTGCTTTTTCATCTAACTTCAATGCTAAGTTTGTGATCACATGCAAATAAATTTGTGCATATATGTCTAGATTTATACTGAAGATGCTACAGATGGTGAATAATAAATTTCTCATTTGAGTTAAAGAGTCTACCTTTCTATTTGCATCACTTTCTTGATGCAGTGGTTTATAGAATTATAGGTGCTGAGCTCATTTGTTGGTCACCTTTGAAAACTCTGAGGCCAGATTTAGATAATTGATCTCCATAGCCTGGCAGTTGTTGCTTTACCTTTTGTATTGATGCATCTACTGAATATGTATCTTTAATGACTATAGAAAAGGAAGCATGAAGGAGACGAAGACCTCAATGATGTTCAGAAACACAAAAAAAGCAAGGTAACACTGAAGTGTTTTTTTTTTTTTTCAAAAGTTTTTCCCCCTTCTTAGTTGGTACATCTTAAAACTATATTTTGAACTTATTGTGCAGTAAGTAGGGGTGGGCGTTGTTTGGATTAACTAAATCAAGACCCAAAATCTGAACCAAAATTTGGATTATGGGTGAACCCAATTACTTTTCAGGTGTGAAATTTATCCACACCCAAACCTGAAACCCAAATTATGTTTATCAAAGCATTTTAATTATTATGATTTTAACCTTAAATTATATTAAATGTAAATATAAATGGTTAAAATCAATGGATTAAAGTGTTATTATATATATCTAAATTATAGTTTGGTTTAGATATTGGGTCTCAAAAACACCACCACAAGTGTTTTAGATTATAGATTTGAAATATCACCCGAACTGTCCTGGCGCCCACCCCTATGCAGAAGGCATTTTGGTTAAACTTTATGTTTTTTTTTTTTTTTACTAATTTGGCTGCCCTCTTTATGCACTGACTTGCTGCAGCACAAGAGCTCAAAGATTGATGAAATGGGTGCAATAAAGGTAGCAGGATAAAGTGGCATGTGGTTCTATTGTTTAATTTGTCCTCAGATTTTGAACTTGAGAGTTTGGAAGGATCCTTTACTTACTATTATGAAATTATCTGAGGTACAAGTTTTAATGCATGCTACCCACTCTTGGTAACCCTTACTGCCTGACCTTTTGTTTCCATTTGTATTCTACCTGTGATTTATGTGCATTCTGTAGGACCATGGCTTCTCGTTCATGGATGTCTTTTTTTTTTTTTTTTTTTTTTTTCCCCTTATGTTAATAACCATTGTGATTTGAACTTTTCTTGAGTGAAAATACAAAGCTTGAAGATGTAAGTGTAAGTAACCAGCCTGTAACTATGAAGGACCAACATCTATAGATGGATATTATTGGGCTAGGTTAGACCGTTAGACATTGCATGTAGTCTTCTCTTAGTCAGTTAGTCATCTATTAAGCTGTGTGGAAAGGGTAAATATAGGAAGAATAGAGTAGGACCTGATAAATCAAAGACTGCCTAAAGAATCATAAGGTAAACCAGCAAAGCTATTTGGAAGCATGCCATGAAGGTATTAATACCTTCTCCTGCTGTATCTGAATGAATTAGGCACCTCAATAGTTATCATTAGTACATGTCCTTAATTAGTGATGTTTACCTGATTCTGCTATGATAGTAGTAGATATGTGCAAGTATGCATTTGCATTGTGTTATCAATTTTTGTTGTCTATTGAAACTTAACCAAGTAGAAACAATGATTTAGGCTGGTCATGTGGCCAAATGAGGAAGTGATAAAATAAGTCATAAATACTAAAAGAATTCAAACTGTTAGTCATTTGTTGTTACTTTTTTTTTTTTTCCTACTAGTGATTTTTTTAGGTTAGAACATTACATGGCAATACTTGAGTGTTTGAGCTCAATTGCTCAAATATAAAAAAACATGACTAGATTCTGTTTGTTAATTGGGATATAATTGTCTTATTGAATTTTCTCTACCTGTTTACACTGCAACATTGGGAAGTGGGTTGTGCATAAGTTCAGAAGTGTGTTTAACTTGAAAGCAATTACTAATTTCCTAATGGAATATTCTTGTTGCAGATCTGCATTTAAGACACTTAATGTGCCATCTTTCACGCAGATCTTCATTCATCCTTATAAAGAAAATGTTTATGTATGTATTCACAATGAGTGTGTCTCCTGTGAGACCGTCTCACACATCCTTATTTGTGAGGCATCAAAATGTAATATTTAGGGTTGAATAGTTATGAGAAAATGTAATACTTATAAAAAACCTCACCCGTCTCACGGATGAGGATCCGTGAGATGGTCTCATAGGAGAATTTGACATACAGTATAGGCTTTTCATAGTCACTAGACAGACCTTATTGAGAACAACAACAACGATGTCTTGCTAGTCCTAAAGAACATGTATTAGAGATCAAAATATATGATTTGGTAACCGAGTTGGCTTACAATATGTTTGGTTCATGGAATAGGTCAGAAATGGAATAACATTCTTGAGAATAAGCCTATTCCACCGTTTATTAAGTCCTTTTATTCATGCAATTGAGCTATTCCCCTTGCAAAGGAAGTAGTTATTTTGAGGGGTCTTCATATTGGGCTATTTTTAAGTTCTTAGGAATAGTTTATTTTTGCAACGCCTAATTTTCCCTTAACTCTTTTATTATATATTAGGAATGTATTTTATAATAATAATATGATTATTATTATTATTATTGTGTCGATATATATATATATATATATATATATATATATATATATATATATATATATATATATATAGGGCAGATTCAAATGAGAATATATTTTTCCGTAAAAAATACAAAATAATCTCAACCATCCATTTGGTATGATCAAACAGACAATGGTTGAAAATAAGGGGGAAAATGTTGTTTCATTTTCGTAATTATTACAAACTTTGGTCGTATACTGGAAAAACTTGAGAGTGCATCCCGTTTATAACTAATAATGTACTCAAGATTTAAAACGAGTTCATTCAAGTTTGTTATACTCGTATGTTACAGTGCAACAAAGTTGAGTGCACTCTTTATAGATCTTGAGTACATTGTTAGTTATCCGCAGGATGCAATTGCAATAATTACAAAAATGCAATTGCAATTTTCCTTTTCCCCTTATTTTCCAACCGTTGCTCAACCTAAATGGATGATGAGGTTATTCCACATTTTTTTATGATAAGACATGTTCTCATAAGATCTTAATTCTATATATATATATATATATATATATATATATAAAACTTATTTTGTTAATGCCTATTTTTCCTTAATTAATACTCCCTCCTCATTTTGTGTCTGGTTCGGTTAAAGAGACTGAAGTTATTTTTAATTCATTTTTTCATAATATTAAGTTTAGTATTAATATACAAAATGTATATATTTAGAAACTACGTTAAAAGTACTATTAAACACAAAAAATTAAATTTAAAAATAAATAAAAAATACTAAAGAAAATAAACAAAGAAAAACGAGCTGGTTTGACCAATAAATAGTAAGTAGGACAGATAAAATGAGACAAGGGGAGTATATCCATTAATTATAGAGGGTATTTATATTTTTTGACTATTTATTCCGTTTCTATTCCTTAAACTAACCTAACATTTAAATATAATTCATTAAATCTATTACTTTCACAAACCAAACAATGGAACAAAATTCATTTTCTATTCCTTGCATTTTCTATTTCCCATGGAATAAGATCCTATTTTTCCAAAATTCATTTTGTGGACCAAATGTGTTGTTCACTTGTTCGTGTCCAAAGTCATAAAAAAGGACTTACATCTAAGGTTCACTGTTAGGACTTCACTACGTGAAATGCCAGACCATTGTCCTTGTGGTGGCAATAGAAAATAGGAACAATAAACGATTGTAAATTAAAATATTTTTTGGAAAAAGAGTTATTTTCGGGGTTTCCAAACGGACCCTTAGGTCTTCACTGATGAGTACATTAATTTTAGTATTTCCTATGCTGTAACAATACTTAATTAATATCAATTGCACAAAGATCTATACAAGGAGGACATGGTTCTATTTCCTAAAACGCTACAATAAAACAGATTTAGTTATCAATTGCAGAGAGATCCATACGGGTCTGATCTGGTATGCACAAATCTTTTATAATGTACTGTCTAGGGAAGGAAGCATATACAGTTATGTACAACCTCTCTTGACTCTGTTTTTGCAGAGGTTATTCTACATAGAGCCTGTAATAACAAGTAATTCAGCATGGCGCACTGCTATGAGAGCTTCGAATAGTTAGTTGCAAAGAATTCCACATTTAACTTGTCCATTTTCTTACACTTTCTTTAACAAATGTGAAGTAAAATAAAGAATGAGAATAAAATTGGAAAATGGTAAAGAAAGGTATGATTTCTCCGTAGGAGTTTTAAAGATGTGAGACATAACTCAGGAAAGAGAAACTGTATAGCCATATTTGAGGATAATTTCTGAAAGATGGGCTTGTGTAGTAGCTGAGTGCTTAGCTGTCAGGACTGTCAGGTTATGTCATAAAACACAAGATCTCTGAAATCAAGGTATTCTGTTTTTTACATTTTGTAGCTGAATGCCGATACAACCCTCTTTTCTCATCTACATGAATCTTATTGCATATTTGCATTATTAACTACAATTATAGGGCCCTAAGTTTAGAAGTTGGTTTACTACTGTTTTATTTCAGCTTGCTTGGTCACTCAAAAACTTCTTATATGACCATCATAAGATATAGCTGCTAAAATATATTGTATCATTTGAGTGACAACTCTGATTTCCTGCTTTCTCTGCCTACTTTTAGAGATTGACATAGTTATAGATGACCCTAAGGGGGCGTTTACTTCATGTACATGATAATCTTGTATAACTTATTTAGTTCAAATTATGTGATATCCTCTGGTATTGTAACATTACTGATTTACTGCCGCATAAGAAAATGAGTTTATGTGAAGGTAATGTGATTATCTGCGTTGTCTTAGGTATTGTAACATTACTTTAAAATATACCAGTTTTGTCATTTATACTGCATATATCGTTTTTGTAGAAATTTCAAGATAATATTACACTCTCAGTCTTAACTAAACATACAAGGTAATGTACTCACATTCCTTGAACTAAATATCCCCTAAGTGTCTTGCAATTATTTCAATCTTCACAAATATTATGTTAAAGAGTTCCAACACCTGCTTGACAAGGATATTATCTGGGCAATTTTTGTTAAATGCTAGAAATGGTGGTGAAAAGTTGAAGCTTAAGCTGATATTACTGACATTATTCTATAGCTTTTCATGTATGCCAGCTTCCATCGCTAATTGTTTTTAGTTTTATAACTTCAAAAAATGTTTTTATGTTGTACAAAATGTGTCTATTACTTCAGTAAGCAGCATATATTTCCTGGTGATTCTAATCTAGGGGAAGTCTTCCCTATCATTGCATTCACTTGTATTGCATTTCCTTTTCTGTGCAGAATAGTTTGTGAGCTAACTAAAGATCGCCAAGACGGTGAATTCAACCGTTGAAGTAGATTTAGTTCAAGGTACAAACTACTGAAAAGAACATTGTGTCATAACAAGTGCTCCCATTCAAAACATAATCCCATCTTATGGTTCTAATGGCATATTGGATATCACAGCCTTTTACTGTTGTATATGTTTTTGCCCTTTTCAAGTCTTACTAATAGGTCTAACAAGTTTGCAGCTTTGCATAGTAAAAAGAGGATGCTGAGTTGAGTGTTTCTATTCATCATTTGTCTTTCCTTTGAGCTTGAAGCTGGCTTCTGATCTTCAAATGTTAGGTGGGATTCATATAGAGGTTTTGTCGCTACTGATATCATTATAGGACCTTCTAACGTTGGGAATAGGAATTCTTTTTGTATATACTAGGAAGAAATGAAAATCAATTTATTCTTTCTGATATTGAGTAGGGAGAATGGCATCAGTTTGACATCTGTTTCCAATCATAATAGTTCATATCTGAATGTGTAAATCTCTGTAAAATTTTGGTACTTGAGTCCCGTTGCCTCTAATTGAGATGCATGCTCCTAGTATGACTTAAACCTAGGTTGTTCTTGTCATGTTATAGAAGTACTGGTTGTTGCTGTATGTTTATTATTTTCTTCGTGGGAATGATCTTATGGCGCTGTGTTTTGTAGTTAGTAAGTTGTATTTCTTTCTTATTTTGTTAGAGGTATGTACTACCAGAGGATACAATTCTATCAATCATAGCTTTCCTGAAATTTTTCCTTTTATGAAGGTGGGAGAATTAAATTTATATAGTTTAGGTGTGTGGTAGTACTTTTTATGTTGCCTTCTGGGTTTGGACTATGGAGTTTATGTCATGAAAACTGAAGCGTGGCATCGAAGATATTGGGAAGAATGAGAAATATGATTATGTTCCATGTATATAGCACATTGAGTGTGTTTATTAAATGAATTGCTTTATAAAACAGGAGGCACCTGCCCTTGTTGCCATTCTATGGGTTGGGTTTTGGAATTCTGTAATTGTACGTACTTACAATATTCACATAGTTATGAGTGATGTTTTTTTTTTTTTTTTTTTTTTTTGTAAGTACATTTTAATGTATCACAGTATCTGTTCAACAAAGTATGTCAATTCTGATTAGGGTAAGATTTAAACTTGAGACTTTCATTATGGAAAGTAATAAATGTGTGTTGTTTCAAGAATGTTTTTAGATAATGTGATATTGTAGAAGGTTTTTTTTGAAAAGGGAAAATGACAATTTTGGATTTTGTGTCCTTGTGGTTATAAATGTGGATCTTTTGCCATCTTGGTTGGAGTTATCATTTTTAGTGATATTTTTGAATTTATGACCTTGTGGTTACAAGCGTGAATCTTTTTCCATTTTGAATGTGTTGCCCCTTTAGTGATATTTTTGAATTTATAATTTCGTAAGCTTGTTCTTTGCAAGTTAGAGTTTGAGTCTAATGGTCAATGGTTCAAGAGTTATCCTAGAAGTCTTGCTCCAGTTCTCATTGAAGACATGCGGTAATTGGGAGACCTAAAGTTAAAAAATAAAAAAGGAAAAAAAATTGATTAGAGGTGATGAAGACTTTGTGCAGAGTGTACAAGGAGAGGTGGAAACTAAGGCTGAACACAACTCTGCAAATCTCACATTGGCAATGTGACATGGCAAGAGAGAAAATTATTTTTTATTTATTTTTGAGTTGGCTAAATTAGCAATAGGAGAGAATTTGCTAATAAGAAAAAGCCTGCAAAACTGCTGAAAAGGATGACCATGACACAACTTTTGATTTCTTTTCTATTTTTATTATTTTTTATATTATTTTATTATTATATTTATAATACAATAATATAATATGAATGTGGAACCCATTTTTAAAAGTGATAGAGATTTGCAGGGATGTGGAATAAATAGTGTAGAATTTGCAAAAATTGATGATATGAAAGTGAAATCCATTTTAGAAAGTGAGATATTTACAGGGATAAGGATAGCCTAAGAACTGACTGACTTTGCACAGAGTGTACAGGGGGAGGTGAAAACTAAAGACTGACTGTGTGACTTGTAATTTACCTCATCCAGCATTTTGAAAGATCTAACGTATCCAAAAAAAAAAGAAAAAAAAAGAGTTATAGTTGATACGGACATTCTATGTCACAAAATCAGGATCAAAATATGTATTCTACTACCGGTGGCTAGGGAGGAATTGCAATTTACAAATGGAGATGGAAACCAAGACCAAACACTATATTTTTAATATACTAAAAGTATATTATTCGTGTATATAAAGTACATTATTTGAATATTAAAAGTACATTATTTTATATACTAATAAATAATGTACGTTCAATATAAAAATAATGTACTTTTAATATATTAAAAATGTACTTTGTATTCATGATCCACACGACTATATGGATCATAATCTACACGATAATTTGCCACCACGACCAGCCCTCAAAATTAATAGAAAAGCCCCCAAATCAGAATATCAATTTGCTAGATCTAATTGACCCAACCCAAATAAAATCGGGCTGTTTTACTCCTCGCATTGCCAACCGGATTCAATTGTTACACCATGGCAAATTATTTTATGGACCCGGCTTCACGTTGCAAGGTGAATTCGTTTTTAAGATACACAATTTACATACTAAATGTTCACAATTTACATTTTAAAAATTCACAATTTTTTATGACTCTGTATTGTATTTACAAATTTTCAAAACTTAAAAGTACAATTTATATTCTAGATGTTCACAATTACAATACTAAAAATACACAATTTAGAACCAGGGTCCACTTTGCAATGTGGACCCTATAACAACTGTTATACCATGAACTAGGGTTCATCTTGCATTGTGGATCTTGGTCAAAAAATTAAACACATAATTTATTAACTACAGACACATAATATGTTAACTATAGACGGTAATATGTTAACGGCATATTATGTACATGCAGTTAATATTATGTGCCTTCAATTTATTTACAAACACATAATCTATTAACTGTAGACACATAATATGTTTACATGCATATAATTTGAATATTATTTTGGACCAAAGTGCTCAATGTAAGGCGGACCTTGGTCCATGGTATAATTTGTCATCTTGATTGGGATGAGACTCAAACCTATAGGTGTCAAATTGACGGGTTAGCCTGAAGTCCAGTCCAAACCCGGTGATGTGGTAAATATGGAGGCATTCACTAATAGATATGGGTATTAGGGTTGGATCGTTAAAAGATCCTAAATTAGTCTGCTCGTTGGTCTTAATCTTGAGCTTGAGTAATAACACAAGGTCAGAGACTCCTGAACTATAATGTAGTATGTGAAAGAGATCAAAAGTCCCTCCCACTAGCATTGAGTGCTGTATTTATAGTGGTGGGGAGGGGACACATGCCGGGTTCTCGGCATGACTGACACGTGTCGCACATGTAATCGGTGGGCTTGGGAACAACGCCTTAGTATCCACGTGTGCTTAGATTCCTGATCGTTCACTGAGATTGGACTGGGTTAAAGCCTAAAATCAAAGTCCAAAATCTCAAGTAGCCCAGCTCGGGATGGCCGTTCTAACCTGAATTGATCTGGTCCGTCCTTAAGTAATGGAGTGCTGCTGCAATCTTTAGTTAGCCTGGTTATAGCGTTTAGGTCAGGAATATCATATCTGTGGTCAGGGGAAAGGTCAGTTATGGTTCATGTTCGTGACTTGACTGAATACCGAACAGGTGTACGATGCGTATAATGAGTTATACATGGAGAATATTCACTATCACCCGACTTATTTTGGCCGAGTTGGGCTAGCCCTTTTTATACTACATATAAGGGTTGAACTTTAATTTTTGACCCATGGACTGTTTTATACTACGAACATGAAGAATAGATTTTATAATTTCTGTTTATTGATTTCTTTATTTTCTTGTAATAATTTTAAAGTTAAATAGTTGAAAACAAATATGTAAATTTGTGAAGCTAATTTAGAAAGAAAACATAACTTAAATGAGTCCATGCATAATTTTAAATTTTTTTAGGGTTATAGACCAGATCAAAAAAATAAATAGGCTTTCTTATAAAAAATAACCCTAAGGGCCCCCAACACCCCGACCCGATAGAGCATTTGAGAGGATATAAATCATGGTAACTCAACTGAACATGAACCACAGAGGCTGGACCTGTGCTCACTGCGCAAGGAACCCCCCTCACTTTAAGAGGTTGCTCCCACACTGTCACTGGTGAAACTCGATCCCTGGTCATTCTTCCACCAAAGTTTCACCTCTGTGACCAGTCGAGCTGCCCATGCAAGTATAGTGATGCCATCATAATTGTATATGAGTCCAATCACAATAAAAAAGTTATGATTTACACACTTTTAGATATGGTAATGTTAGGGTACTCAAAAAAAAAAAAAAAAGAAAATATGGTAAGGTTAGGGATATCAAAATTTATTAATGTAGCTAGTTTTACACGTGTATTGTGCGACTGATTTAATGTCTAATGTTTGTATTTAAATATGTAATTCAAAGTATATCAATGCAAGATTATATAGGAGAAGTTCATTATAGTTGGCATTAAAATTAATATTTAATTTGCACTTTTCTAAAAACAATTATCTAAATACTTATTGTAGTTGGTTTCGGATTAGGTAGTAGATACTACTTTTAGTTGGAATTAGACTAAGTTTTGTTAATTCGCTTTTGGATATGTTTGACATTGTCTTTGTCTTAATCGTTTGTCTTTTTTTTCTTTTTTTTTTTAGTAGTGTCTCATGTGCAATAAGGTTACAGGTGCTAGTTTGCAAAAAAGAACATATTTGGTCTAATTAGTTTTGTTACTATACGTTAAAGAAATAGATGCATGCCACCCCTAAGTGGATTCCCTTATACTAATATTTATAAAATTGACCCTATTATTTTTTAGCCATTGATCATCATAAATGAATGGATCAAATTAGTTCACACGTATCACGAGAAACTTAGTTTACATTTGATCATGATCATATATAGAAAAAAAAAAAAAAAACCTTAACCTAGGTTTGTATTTTTTTTTTTAAATGCAAGAAAATGATTTTCAAGATTCCTTATTTGTAATCTTTGATGCTCAACTTTGAATGCTTTGTATATAGTCTAGTTAATTAATTAACCAAAGTTCAAGTTAAATTTTATATTGTATTTTTTTATATATATTCTAACGTATTCATAATATATGTTAAACAATTATGCCAACTCTGATTAGGATGAGGTTCGGACATAAGACATTGCTTATGAAAATCGATGAGTAAGTTAAAAGTTATAAATAGTTAACGGAATATTCCGTTATAAAGTTTACATTACCGAAATGCAGGGTATTTATGAAAAGTAAATGATATAATAGAGGTAAAATAGAAAAAAAAAATAATAATGAAAAAAATACCAAAATCTACTATACTAATAAGATCCAATAAAGTTAGGCCTATAACGGGAACTAAAAAAATGTTTGTACAATTATTTAATGAAATGAATAGTTTATATTATTTTTATCTGAGTATTCTTTTATTTTTCTACTTTACCCTCTAGTATATCATTTACTTTTTCTAAATATCATTGTATTCCGTCAGTGTAAACTTTAGTAATGTAATATACGTACCGTT